CGGCCGCTCACTGTGGCTGCTGGCCGCTCACGCTGGCTGCTGGCTGCTGGCTATACACAGTAGCCCATGGCAACACACTGCCACAGGGGCTGCAGCCCACGCCATCGCCAGCGACTCACAGCAGCCCAGCTCCAGGTTTAGCTGTTGTTCAGCATCTTAGCTGTGGAGGACAGTGTCACTGGCCCTCATGTGGGATCCGAACCGGGGCCCTCTAGCATCCCAAGCCATCAGTTAACCATCGCGCCACTCGGCCGGCCCTCGCCGTTCTCTTTGTTCCAGCATGGCGGTGTGGTTCTTTGTCCTCCAGTTTGTTCAGATCTATACTGTCAACACCATTTCATACTTTTACCCTTATCTCCTTGTCTTTCTTAATTAAGCATCGTTGATACTTATCATTGCTCTTCCTGATGAGGTTGAGATGAGTGGGGTAAGAAATGAAGCTAACCCATTTATATAAATTAGTATTTAATTACATAGTATGTGTCTCATGAGTTCATGTCAGTCTTGTCTACCAAACAAATGTTGTAAAGGGCAGAAGCCTTCTTTTTCCTTGCCAAATACATACAGATGCCCTATCCATGTTTCTTTTCTTTTCTTCTCTATCTCACTCAGTGCTAAGAATGTAGTAATGTTCAACAAAGATTGTTGCTGAGTGAAATTTACCTACTCTGTGCCTTACATAAAGGTGAATAATACTGTATTTGTCATTGTCCTTGTACATTCCATAGAGGGTGTTTGCCTGGTAAGGAAATGAGGGAAAATCACCTGGGATGGGAGCAGGGCCAGCTGTTCTGCTAAATACAGAGCAGACATCCTTGCACATCTGCTCCTCTACTTTAGAAATATATATTTTTTTAAAGTTTAAATGGAAACAATCTAAAAATTGCAGAAAAGTTGTAAGTACAGTACAAAGAACTTTTTTTCTTGAGCCATTTGAGAGTAAGCTGCCGACTTGATTCCCCAACAACCCTGAACACTTTAGTATACATTTTGTACAAGCGAAGACATTCTCCTATGTAAACACAACATAACCAACAAAATCAGGAAATAAACACTGAATAATTACTACCGTCTAATTCTCACAACACATTCAGATTTTACCAATTATGTCAATAGTATTCTATATAGCGAAATGATCCAGTTTGAAATTATACATTGCATCAAATACATTTTGTTGTCATCACCAATTTTTAGGCACAGTTCTTCAGTCTTTCCACGACTTTCATGACTTTGACATTTATAAAGATTACATACAGGTCAGTTATTTTGTAGAATGACCCTCAATTCAGGTTTTTTTGATGTTTTCTCATGGCTAAGTTTTAGTTACAGATCTTTGGCATATCACAAAATATCACAAAAGTGATTTTGCATTCTTTCCATTGCATCCTATCAAGTGATGTGTAATTTATATTTATCCCTTTATTGATGTTGTTCACTTTAATTAAGATGATGTGTGCCAGGCTTCTCCATGTGAAATTACTGATTTCCTTTTGTAGTCCCATTCCTTATAAAAATTTCAATTTATTCACTTATTCATATCACTGTGGACCATGGTATTTAGTTTCCTCTTTTATTTTTAATTTTTTGGTAATTCTAGTGTGGAAACAATATTTTTTTCTTCTTTTTTTTTGAAAGCTGTCAATTTATTAAGTCCTGGATCTGAAACTGGCACAGCACCACTTCTGTTATATTCTCTTAGCCAAGTAGTCCCATGTTCTCTTGGTCGAACAGTGCCAGAGTCTAGATTCAAGGGGCAGGGACATAAACCTCCCTGTTAATGGGAAGAAAATCAGCAAGTTTTGGGATCAAGTTTTAAAATGGCCATGACACAGTCTGCCCTCTGGCCACAAATTATTTACATTTGTTCTGCATATTAACTATTCTCAGCACCTCCCAGTATCCCCCCAAACTCTCTTCCCATTATGGTATTAGGTTCAGGCTCGAGGTTTAGGACCTTGTCATCTAATCAGGTCCCAGTGTCCATGTGGCTTTGTGGATACAATTTTTCAGATACAGCTCCTTCTGGATCAGCAGTCCTATCAGCATTTTCACTTCATTGGGGTAGATACGCTTCCTCAGAAGTTACCCACCAAACCTCTCCTGCATCTCATGTGCCAGAGCTGGGTCCCATGTCCATCTCAACGGAATCCCTCATGTATGGAATCATGCAGTATCTCTACTTCTGTGACTAGCTTATCTCACTCAGCATAATGACCTCAAGGCCCATACATGTCACTGCATGTGGCAGGACCTCCCTCCCTCTCAAGGCTGAACAATGTCCAACAAATATTCTTTTTCTTATTTCCTTAAGAAATGTGGCTCCCAAACTTTGCACCAGGCTCTGAGTTTCTCTACCTGTAACAATATACCTTTCAAGACTTTCTTTCTTTTTTTTCTTTTAATTATTTTTTATTATGAAATACACATTTTTTAGAATTAGGTTCAGCTGTACAACACAGTGCAATAGTTATACTTTTTACCCCTCGAGGTGACAACACCCCTCCCCCAATCCGCCGTCCCACTTCCCCCCAATATCATACATATCTATTACAATTCCCTTGTCTCCACTCCCACACTATACTCCACGTCCCATGA